TTCTCGTTTCCTGCTGTCGGTGTGTTTTGCTTTATGATGATGCCTCAGAGGGGGGCATTTGCGGGTTCGGGGTTATTTATCAGCATAAATTATTTATGCCGCATTACGGGCATAAAAATAAATAAAATAAATGAAGCCGGCCAACTAAATCCGATTAGAAAAGGAGGCACAAAAAGATACTCAAGATACTTCGCCACGCAGTAGATACAAATTTATTTTTATAGATTAATCAACGAATTACTTGTGCAGCTGTTGCCGCAATACCAAGCATTTCCCATTTTCATTTCCACATCGTATACGATTTATTTGGCTTAGGCCATAAAAATGAAAATGAAAATTTTCCGCCAAGTATTTGAAAATATAAACATTATGGGCCCGCTTTTCGAATTTAATTAAATGTTTATGCCAAGCATTTAAACTAAATCGACCAGGGCCGCCGAATTCAAATCTGCTTTGCATCTTTACATATACACATATAATCCATATAACCCATAAGATGCTGTAAAAACTACTTGGGGAGTACTTGAATGGCCGCTTTTGTGTATTCTCCATATGTGGGGATCGTTTTTGGGATCGGTGCGCATATATAAAATATGACTGAATAATATAAAACAGAAGGCGATACATCAAAGCGGATTATACAATTTATTTTTGCTTTTATTCCTCGGCTGGGGATTCGGTTTTGGTTTTTCTTTTGTATTCTTTGGCTCTCTGCCTCTGAAGATATATATATTTCTTCATTTTTATTTTATTTATTTACTTTCCTTGGAAGATCTTGTATACAAAAAAAATAGATGCAACAGATGCAGCTGGAGAATAGAAAACCAAAAAACATGCTGGGCCACGTAATAAATTGTATTATTTATATTATTTTATATAACGCAACCCCCGATGTTAGCCGCGGGAATCGGACAGGGAATCCAAGGAACACACAGAGAAGTATCTTTGAGATACTGAGTTGCACAGCGGAAGCATCTTCTTCTTCGTCTGAAAGAGTGACGAGTGTAATGACTTTTGTCGATTGGGTTAAGTGGCTTGTTGGCTTCCTTCGCTTCGAGTTGCGAGATTCGAGATTCCTTTTTCGAGCATCTTTTTCAATTTTTATGCACGCCACTCGCTCCCTTTTTCCTGATTCTTCACCTTTTTTTCCTGGGTTTTGTTCAAGTAGTTTGAATATGGCACGTTTAGTATTTTCCCCTCCCCGCGGTAATTTGTCTGCTGTGTTTTTTTTCTCTTCTCCTGGCTGCAGTTTTTGCCGCCTGGTAAAACACAAAAAAAAGGTAAGCGACACACGCTAATCATGAGTGTGAGATTCTCGCAGATTCTCTCCCTTTCTCTTCCTTTTTCTCTGGACCCTCTCCTTTTTTCTCTCTGCGGTCTGGCCCTCATCTGCGGACTAATTGAGTGGGAAAGTGGCTAGGAAATCGAAAGGGAAAAGTCTGCGGGATGTGGAATTGATTACAATCAGTGGCGGTATGGATGTATCTCAATTGTTCTCGGGAGTTTGAAAATTTCAAAACCTGTTTTTATTTTACGAACATTTTTTTAAAAAAGATTTTCTAATTTTTTCACAGAATAAAATATAGATTTTAGCACTTAAGGGGCTTTTATATATATTTTGGAATGCCTTCTTATTAAAAAATATTTTTATATCTATGGTAATTTAAAATATAAATTAAAAACAACTATTTTAAAAAGGATGAGTCGAAGTTTAAAAAAAATATATTTCAAAGGTTTCCAAATACGATTTATATTTTACCTTAAAGTATTTAAGTGCTCTATAAATGACTCTCACAAACCTACAATAATCTAAAAAAATGTATTTCCCCTTTGGATGAGTTTCAATCGTCTTATTGTGCCTAATAAAAACTTCCTCTGCGCCCACGCTCTGCAAAAAGTTCAGTGAACTGATCGAGAGGCCGGAGAGGAAACCAATAATAATATACAACCTCTAATGATGCACACTCGCACTCACACACAATCTAAATGCGCTGGCAATAAAATATGAAAAACTGAAGAACAAAAAAATGCGTAAAAGGAGAAAAAATGATTTTTAACAAAGGCGAAGGCAGACAAATAAAAGTGCAATTAATCACCAGAAACCGAGGGCCCAGACGGCGGCCAGAATCGAGAACTGAGAGCTGAGACCCCTGGACCACGACGACTGACACTTATCGGCTTTATCTGCTTATGTGAAGGGAGAAAAGGCGGAATAAATCGGAGATGCATTCACACAAACATATAAATATAAATGGAAAGGAATTATAAATATTAAAGAAGCTGGTGGATTCGTTGGGCCCGAGGATTCAGCCTGTCAATATTTGATTTTTACACGGAGAAAAAAAATAATATAATATGCAAAGAAGATACAAATAATATTAGCTTAAAGATAACCAATCTATAACTATAAAATAAGGCTATTTTAAAAGGGAGGTTGGAAGGACAGCCAAAACAGTTAAATAAAGAAATCTACAAACTAAAACCGAAATTCTGAACAATTTCAAAAATTCATACTAATATACAAAATTTATACAAAATATTAAATTAAATATAATATAGTTTTTTTCCGTGTGAATATATGGCATTGCCTTGATGCGATCGCCGCGAACCAACGAAAAATGCATCAATTTTAAATAATAAATGAAATGTGTGAATAAACGTTGGGAAATATATGATGGGCGATGGGTGATCGCTGGGGGATGGGTGATGTGGGATGTAGGATGGGGAAAATGAGGAGAACAATCGGAAAGGCAAACAGCAGGAAAGCATAAACACGGCCGGCAACACTAATACCCAGGCAAACAAACAAAGATGCAGATACAGATGCCGCAGCGGATTCAGATGCAGATGCATTTTCCAAAGAATTTCTAAGCACATAAAAAGCAAAGCAAACGGTCAGTTGGGAAAATATTTAAAAAAGCATAAAAACAAAATATTTATTGAAAAGAGACGCTAACGAGCCAACACGCCGCGCAGCGATCAGATGAGGCAAACAAACGGCTTCAAAAATTGAACACATGAGCAGGCTAATGCATATACATATACTCGCGTATAGCCGGCTATTTGATTAATGCACTCGAAAGCGACAATAAACACGGAACATGGAATATGGCCACGAAGAACCGGGCATAAGGAGTTTCTTTAGCATCCCAGACAAACAAATATCGCATTCCGATTGATCTTGGCTATACGGACAAGGAACGGGGACCTGGGACTCTGAATGGAACTCCCCATCTCTCCATCAACGCCAGGGATCTGGGTTCTTGAGTGAACGTCGCCGTCGACGTCTATTGGATAAATAAATACAAATTTTTATTAAAGTGCGAATTCTGCGGTGAGCTCAGTGCTAATGCAGTCGAACTCGAACCGGTCGCTAAGTTTGGCCCCTAAACTGGCAAAAATATTGTAACGCTTGTATTTTAAAATATTATGATAGCAGATATTTAAAAAGAATATGTTTTTGAGATAATAATATTTGAATATTTTTAAGGTATTTGAAAAATGTTTTTGAAATAATAAAATTATTAAAAGTTTAATTCTGTTTATTTTTGTCCTTAAAGAAAATAAATTAATATTATTTAGTAGATCCTGAACACAAACAGTTCTCTGTAGATAGTTCTTCAGAAAATATTATGGGCCATAATATTTATTTAATAACAACCAAGTTTTCCGTGCATTTTAAATGCATAATAATAATACTTATTTTGAGTTTTAGAGCACAAGAAAATATTGATAATATCAAAATCTCTCTAAATTTGAGTTAAATCCCAAAAGAACCCATGGATATTACCATTTGACCCCCATATTTTCCCTGTGCAGACCTCTTTCGCCGTTGCCCTAATTGAAGCACACTTAGGGAACCACAACAAGTCACAAAATGCTCCATAGATCGAAATCAACCGCACAGGCCACAGGAATTTCAATCACCTCTTGGTCACCAAAGCAACGTTCCAGTGGTTGCCCCCCGAGAGAAAGAGAAGCCAGAAGAACCGGGGGATCTGACCTACGAAAAGGGGGCTAAATGTGGAGCAAATCTCCGCGGGGAGAAAGAGCGGGCGAAAAGAGAGAGAGAGAGCGAGCGAACAATGGGCGACGTGGAGCACGTGAATGCTGTCAATCATTCCACGGGAGTGGGTTCTCAATGGATGGTCATGGTGGTGATGGTGTGGGGAGGTTCGAAATCGGTGCGACTGGAGCTCCGCATTCCGCGCCGTGACGTCACGACACGAGGCGAAATGCCGCCGGCAGAATTCTTCGCAGCCCGAAGATTGAAGATCGCGAATCGTGAATCAAAACAAACCGAGGGAAAAGATCGGAGAGTGGAAAAGAGTAATCTATGAGCTGGAGAGCAGCAGCGCTGCAACAGCGCAGTAGCAGCGCGGCAGCAGCAGAAGAGAGGTCTTGCAGCTCTCTTCGTAGATTTCTGTTTGAAGAATTGAAGAGAAGAGCTTTGGGCAAGAGATAGGTCTCTTAACTGATCTGAGTCTTAGCTTAACTGATTGTCTTTGGAAGATAAATCTCATTTAATAAATCGAAACTGCTAATCTTAAGTAATATATGAATGTTTATCTTGAGTTTAATGTTCAAAGTGCTAATTCTAAAACGCAATATATTTGGGGTATTGCATTTTTGACACTACTATTTACTCATCACAGTAATTTGTTGTTTTTTTTTCTAAAAAAATAAACAATTTGTTTTTACATTGGTTTTAAATTATTTTTTAACATATTTTGCAGAGTATCAAATCACACAGAAGAGTATCAAATATTCAGAAGAGTGTCAGGATCGACTTAATATTTACACATTAATTTACACGTGTAATTTTTAACATTGAATAATTTAAGATATATATTGATAATTGTATTTTTTAATTCAAAGTAGTTCAAAATGATATCAAAATGATATAAAATTTCATCAAAATGAATATAATTTCTTATCAAATTTGGTAAAGGTGTCATAATGGCTAGAAAATGTTTATAAAGTGCTTTAGCTCCACTTACCCTTTCTTCCTCTCTGATCATTTCGGCGATTCCCGGCTTAATTTCCATATCATCGGCCAGCGATGATCCTCCGCCTGAGCCCGTTCCGCCTCCCACGCCCCCTCCCACGCCCACTCCACCACCATGGTGGTGCGGCGGTGGGGGCGGTAGGCGTGGCTCAGTGGGAGGACCAGGTCCCAATCCACTTAGTTCCATGGCGGCGGCCATTGCAGCGGCTGGACCCAGGGGAAAACGCGAGTCTCCAGCGGGCGATGGCGGATGGTGGGAGGATCCGGAGGTCTGAGAAGGATGTGGGGCAGGTGGTGCATGGTGGTGCGGATGCAGGGGAAGCGGCAGGGGAAGCTGACCCCCCTGCTGCTGCTGCTGCTGGGGACTCTGCGAATGGGGTCGCGAGGATCGGGAGAGGGGACCTGGCGTGGCAGCCGGCGAGGGCATGTCCAGCGAATGAATGGCCGTCTCCATACGTCTCGAGGTTGCTCCTCCCGAGCCAGAAGAGCTGCTCAATGGAGGCTTCGGAGGTGGGGTCATCAAGGAACAATCCCTCTGCCTCTCCCGCTCCTTTTGCTCCAGTTCCATTCTCTCAGCCGCTATTAAACTGCTCAGCGGACTCGGTGGTGCAGGTGGATTGAAGATCGTGTCCGCCGATGGCCAACGTCGCTTCCTCACATTCCTGCCCTGCTGTCGCTCCAAAGGAGAGAGTCTCAGTTCAGCAGGATCCCAATCCGAACGCATCTTCTTCTCCGGCTGCATGAAGGCCAGCAGCTCCTCGGCCTCCCTTTCCCTTTCGTTTTCAGTTCTGGAAGTGGAAGTGCCACCTTCCTTGGGTGAGGAGGAGGGCATCCTTTCCGAGGAGGCCGCTGCCGTGGCTGCCGCCGTGGCCGCCTCCATGTGGGTCACATCCGCCAGGCCGCGCACCTTCAGCATCTCAGCTATCCGCAGTAAGGGACCAATTTGATCCTGACTCACATTGATCTCGCCGCGATACATAAACTCTACGATGGCCTTTAAGTCCGACCAATTGACATCCCGCATGATCACAATGGGATGCTGGCAGGGCGTCTCCGCTAGTAAAGTTTGAAAATAGGGAGAGCAGGCTGACAAGACCATCTTATGTGCCTTCATGGAGCGACCATCGCAGGCCAAGGTCACGTCCACAAAGCACTCGTTCTGGAGTAACTGATCAAAGATGGTGGTCAGATTGGTTTGGTAGTTGTTCCATCGCAGGCAGAATTGCTGGGAAGTGGAACTGGGCGAGGCTACCGAGGAGCTCCTTCCTTGGGGAGAACTCACTGGCGAGGAGGTTCCACCTCCACCTGCCGTGTGACCTTGACCCTCCTTGTCCTTATCCTCCTCCTTCCTTTCAGTTGGTGAAGTGCGATCCTCGCTTTTCGTACGCTTCTGCTCCTCCTCTCGCTGGGTGGGCGAACTCCTGTTGCTCTTCGGCGAACCATCCAATCCCGAACCCGAGCCTTTGCGCTGCCTCTGCATCGTGGGTCCCTGTTCGGGCGCCATGCCAACTTTCGCTTCCGCCTGCGCCGACGACGCCATTTTGTCTACAGCTGATCGCTGATCACCGTTACGATCGATCGTTAAGCGTTACGCGATCGTTGAACGTTAAACGTTACGTTACGTTACGTTGCGCGACTCTCGCTTCACATAGCGTTTTTTGAAAGTGTTTTGAAGGAAAAACCGCGACAATTACGACGCTCAACTGAGAGTGGTGGGCATGTACATGTGAGTATCTGTGTGTGTTAGTGGGTGTCGGTCTGTATTGGTATGTGTGTTACGTATTCGTTACGTTACTACGCGCACTACGTGGCCATTTGGCAATTAGCCCGCCTTTCGTTCTTTCAGTTCGTTTCGGTAACTCGTCGTCGTGTTTTTCAGTTTTCAGTTCCGTTTCAGTGTTCAGTGTTCTATGGGGGGCCTCTATATGTGTTGGCCAACAAACAGGGCCAAAAGTCTTCTCAGCACGAGCGTCTGAATTAGACTGAAATCGTTTTGCACATTTTGATACGGAAAAACTCAAAACAAACTTAACACACGACGACGACGATGGCCCACGACGATGTGGATGTGGATGTGGCCTGTAGATGTGGCAGTGGCTGTGTGGAAAACTGAGGGCCGCCGAGGGGCAGCGTTGATGTTGCTGCAACAGCAACTGCTACTGCTTTTGTAGTTGTTGCTCTCAGGCGACTGCGACTGAGTTCGCGACGAAGTTGCGAATAGTTCGCGAACAGCTCTGCCGGCGTTTCGTTTGGCTTGGCGAAAGGAAAATGCGATGCGGCTGGAGAACTGAGTACTGCGAACTGCGAACTGCTGAGAACCGACGGCAGAGGCAGCAACAGCAACAGCGACTTCGACTGAGGCAGAATCGCCGATGAAAATGGCTGAAAACGGCGAGCTGTAGGCGCCAAAAAACGCCGGCTAACGGGGCACCGCATACCTTTGCTCCTGCGCTGCGTTTTGGTTTTTGGTTTTGCCTCTCCTCGAACTCAAAATCGCAAATCGCAATCGGAATTGGAATCCTTCGTCCTTCGTCCTCGTGCTTCGACATGCTCGAACTCGTCCTCGTTCTCGTACTCGTTCTCGGCCTCTCCTACGCGTTGCAACCCCCAAATATTTTTGGCGCTACTGCACTACTACCATTGCGTGCAAAAAGGATGCGTCGCAAGTGTGTGTGCGTGCGTGAGGAAACGGAAGTTGCCCCGAAAATGCAGCGAAGAGCGAGCTTAGGCCTAATATTTTTTAGAGGCGGAGGCGCTGGGCAGGAGAGGGTGGCGTCGGGCCCCATCGACCAGTACCCCCGGTCGAACATTTTCGGGGGTCTTCAGAAAAGTGCGAAAGCGGCGAAAATATGGCAGATATTGAGAAGGAGTTTGCCGGTTATTTTAATGATTATTGGGAAAAGTAGGGGTATATAAATTAGGTTTTTATAGGATATATTACAAAGAAATTTTCGGAAGAATTATGAAATTATGAAGAAAAAAAACGAATAATGTTTAAGAGATTTATAAAAAATATTTAAAGTAAGTGCATTTTATAGAATTAGTTTTAAAAAAATATTTAAATAATCTTGGATCTCAAAAAAAGGTTTCAATGGTAAAAACTTTAATTTTTCAATTTTTTGTTATTTTAGAAATATTAAAACATAATTTTGTAATAAAGAATTTAATTAAAAATAGGAAATATTGATAGTGCTTAGAACTTTCTTATTTCCAAGAATAGTGATCAGTCTTTGAGAGCATAACCCCTCTCTTTCTATTCTTACCCACCCCCAACCCCCCCTCTCTCTTTCTCCCTCACGCATTTCTCGCCCGACTGAGGAACAAAACTCGGCTGAAAGATGCTTCATTAATTAGTTCCGTTCGAGGGGTATCGTACCCTATCGCCCCCCTCTCCGCCTCCACCGCCCACATAACCCCCTTCGGGAAAAACTCTCTTCGCTGTCGACGCCTCTGCCCGCGTCGCTGCCGGCGTCTCTGCCTCGTCGTGCATTGTAAACAAATGCTTAGGAGAGTCTCTTTGGAGAGTCGAGTCGTCGTGCTCTCTTTTCGCGAGAGAGACGGCACTTAAGAGACTTTTCTCTTTCTTTCGCCTGCACCTGCAGTTTTCCACTATTTTTTCTCGCTCTCCCAGGGGCGGGGGGTTTTTGGGGTGGCAGGGGGGCGACCCGAAGGGGCGGAGGGCGGGGCACTGGCGTTTGAGACTGGTCAGCCTCGATTTGCCGCCTCTGTGTGGGTAATTTCCCCATACGTGTGTGTTTATGACTATTTGCCTGCTTTTTTTATTGCCTTGCGCATTTATAATATGCAAAAACATAAAATAAAGAAATACAAATCTAGCGAAAATAAATAAATTCGCACAAGTGCGAGCGGGACGAAGCTATGGGCTACTGTAGTAGTCAAGGTGAGTGTGAGCGAGAGGCAATGCGAAGGGGAAGGGGGGTCCACTACAGCCAGTCATAAATTATGCATAATTTTTTTCGTGACTGGCAAATGGCGGCTGCTTTTTCAGTTTTGCAGTTACATTATAATAAACATCGGCCATGAATAAAAAAAGAGGGGAATGAAATACGCGATCGGCAGGTATTTTTCATCGATCGGCTTGTTCAGTTATTCAGTATTCACCTGGCTTCCCTCTGAATAAGATTTTTAATGCCTTTTATTCACTCATTTCCGCTGCTTTAATGACGCTAAGTGATACTTTTGCTTATTAATGGCTTGCCCTCGAAATTGTTTTCTGGAATTGTGTCTTTGTACCTTTGTCTCTGTGATGTAACTCTATTATTTTAATGAATTTAATTAGTGATTGAAAACTGTATTTTTCGTATTTTGTGGAAATAAATTGGTTTAGATATGCATTTTATTTTTGCGGGTTCAAAAAGAGGCCTTTTTAAATGAATGGTTGATAAGTCATTGTTACTAGAATTTAAAAACAAACACCATAATAGCATTAAAAAGAAGATCTAATAATTTTTCATGCTGTAATAATTGCAAAGGTATTTCTTGTATTTTTTGATTGCATCTCAAAAATCGTTGTGATATTTTCTTTTCGTTTTTTTAACGTTTAACATATTTTTATGTTTAATGATATGTGGTTTATTGAACTAAAATTAGTAATGTTATTGTAACATATTTATTTTAACGATTTCCTTATAATTACGACTCTAAGGAATTTTATATTAATTTTTTGTATATGATTAAAAATGTATAATCTATAACATTTTTTTTTTAAAAATTTCCTCTTAAACTTGTATCTTTGGTACTCCCATTTCTTTATCCCATCCAACTATCACCAATTAGAGCCCACTGTATTTGGCTTATGGCAACAAATGAATTGCAGCAAACAAAATTTGGATCAAACGCAGAAACACAAAAATGCATCACGCATTCTCTAAGTTGTTTGTTGTTGCTCGCCATCTAGTGAAAAGCGCGGAAAAGGGGAAAAGCGGGGGCCCTGGGAAACGGAAAATGGAAAATGGGAAATGGGAAATGGCTGCTAGGCTCGCGACTGCAGAACGCGTTTATACGAAAATTTATGTATTTAACTGGTGACGACGACGCTGACGAGCAAAACGATGAGGCGGACGTGAAAGGACATTGGAGATGTGGAAAAGTGGAGATGTGGACGCAGGTTCGGAGGCTACGATAGAATCCACTGGATGCGGATGTCCAAAAAAGCGACGAAAGCCTCTGCGAAAGGCCGAAAGTGGGTGGGTTTGGGTGGCCAAAAGGCCGAGGGGGCGGGGGTGTAGTATGTGTGTGCGGGGAAAGATGACAACATTTGAGCCAAACAGACAAAGTTGCGGATGGAGAAGGGGGTGGGGCTCAAGGGGAGAGGTCGCCGTCTGACCCACACACATGAGTGAACGAACAAGCAAACAAACAAATAAAACGGTTGCCATGAGTGTGAATGCACTGGCCGAAAATTAAAACAAGGAGTTATAGGAATTTCGGTTCAACAGGGATGTCCCCAAAATGTTTAGAAAGTAATGTAAGATTTTTGTGAAATATAACTTTTAAATAAATTTAAAAAATTGGTATCTTATTTTGCATTTTCTTTTAATTTTCATCATAAAATATCATATTCTTTGGCCATCGGACCATTTTTATGTCATGTACCATTTTCTTGAATTTCTTAAGATTTTTTACTTAGCGACTTTTATTTTTTCTACAATTTATAAGTTGATATCGAAGAAAAACACTCTCCTCCCCAAAAAATAAAATAAATTGTCTTTGCTTAGAATTTATAAATTTAAATTCGTATTATTTATTTTGGATCAAGGATCTTCAACATAAAAACATTAATCAATAACTATTTATTAAGCCATGATTAGATTAACGCCTAACAAACAAATTTAGTATTACATTATTTGTTTAAAATAAATTATTTAAAATTGATAGCTTGATGTTATAGAATAACTTGTAGATAAACCCTTCTATTTTCTTTTCAGTGCTCGATGCTGCGACCATTGAGGTGACCAAACGTACACATATGAGGGTAAAATGAAGCCGGAGGGTTGGGGTGGAAGGGGGCATGGCCGGCGGGGAGATCAGCGGGAAAAAATGTTGCATATTAAAACGCCAAATAGAAGAGTGCAACAGCGGAAGAGGCAGGGGCAACTGCGACAACGGCGACGTTGCAGCTTAGAGAATGCAGAAAATGGGTGGCACAAAAGGGTTAACCCTTTGCTGATTCTTCGTCCTCAGCTGCTGCTTTTGCTATCCGGCTGCCTTTGCTACTCCTGCTGTTGTTTTTACCTTCGACCATGTCTAAAAGTTGGCTTACACACAAAAGCGATGAGCGATGATGCCTCAAATATGCAAAAATGCCTAGCGCAATAAAACCCCCTTGAGGGCGTATGGGCAATGAAAAAGGGCTTAGAAGGGGAGTTGGGTTTCAGAGGGGGTAGTGGATTGGTGGAAGTACGAGCCTGCTGACCATCGGGGTTGCAACGAAACTTGGAACTTGGAAATGCAGGCGAACAACTCCGGGAGTCGCGTTTCGTTGCGTTGCGTTGCTAACGATGCCGCTGGCTGTCTGAT